GCCGACTTAGAGTCTCGGGTAGCAAAAGTCCAATGCCTCCTCTTCGAAGCACAGTGTCTTCGCACGAACTGATCTCATCTCGGTCAGCACCCAGCAAGATGGACCTGGGTGATTTCCACAAAGTTCCCTTTGGGAACATCAAGCGACTTGACTGTGAGTTTGGCTGGCCAACTCGTCACATTAAACTCGGGCGAGTCTCGGGACAGGCGGAGTGCCGCAGGTTTTGGTGGCAGGGCATTGCGGATGGTAAGCGAACGGTCGCCGACAGACACTGAGAAGCTGCTGCACTCCGAGCGCTTCGTGTGCGCGACGTACTTCAGAGACACCGATGTGGCGCAGCGTGGCAACGGCAGCTGCAGAATGGCTCCCGGCCGCGAGGTGTGCATGCTCTTCTTGTGGGGCTTAAAGACAGCGCCGTACTTGAAGCCACGCTTCGTGAAGTTCAAGGCGTCTAGCTCCGGAATCTCCCTCAAAATGCTGGGCAAACCCTCGTAGAACTTCATGCCCCACGTGCCGTAGCAGGACGCTTTCGGTCCATTGATGGGACTTTGCGCCCACATGGACTCTGGCGCTGAGGCCAGAAGCGACAGCAAAGCGCGGGAGACAGCAAGAGCCACCAGCTCGTGATAGGCCTTTCCACCATGATGCATTTGGCTTACGTATTGCGACTGACACTCTCGGACGGATTGCTTTGCAACATCTGATCCATCTTTTGAAGTTGGGGTTTCGGGACTCTCGGCCGCTACGTGACATTTCTCCGGGGCGTCCGAGAACAAGATGCGGGTTGTAAATGGCGGCATCCACCTCCACCACATCAGACTTGCATCCCTGAACGCGACGAAGCAGCTGGAGTTGCGGTTGGCCGAGACGTGCTTCAGAGAGATGCGCTTGTAGCGGTCAGGGGCATCCATTTGCATCACAACCGGCGAAAAAGCCCAGGCGAAAAGGTCCAAAAACACCACATACCGCGAGATTCGCGCAACTTGAGCTATCCAATTCCGGACTTCATCCACGCTGTGGCTATTCAGTGTCCATTCACCGATGACCACATCATAGCGGTGCCTTAGCGGGCAAGTCCGCCAAAACAGAGGGGTAGTTGCTCCAACGGCATTGTTTTCCACTCTGGCGGGGACTTGGAGAATGTCCAAGTTCTTCTGTAGATACCGCGGCCAATACGAAGCACTCACGGAGCCCCCGAAGATCCCGATTCTGAACGGCTTCCGATTCTGATGCCAGATGGGCTCAGGTGGCGGCATTTGACCCTCGCCGCACGTGGGAGCCACCATTCCGGCAAATGTAGAGAGCACATCACACGATACGCGCGTGCTGTGGATGTAACACTCGTCCGATCTGCTCGAGTTGGACGTGAGCATGGATACAAAGTCTCGCTGTGTCAGCCCGGTGCTCCTGCCGGCTTCGGCTGCAAAATCCCGGAAACCACGGGCCTGCAACAGGCAAACGCTCACGACCAAGATCAGAAGACTCAGCAGGATTGCCACAGCCATCATCATCCCTAAACCCTAACCCTAAACCCTAAACCCTAAACCCTAAACCCTAAACATGGCAAGACTTACATCCTAGGGGCACGAAAAACTGCAAGCCACACCGCGGCAAGGTTCGATCTTTCTTGCTTCTTCGGTGCAGTTCTCGTGATTTTCACCCCTGAAACAGGTTTATATTTCTGTTATTGGTGAGTGCATCTAAGGTTCCTTCTTAGTATTGGTGAGTGTATGTATTGGGGTCCTTTTGGGGGTACAAGAAATATAAGCCCTGCTTTATGTGTTTTCCAACTTGATCTTGGGGTTCACGGCGGGAATCTTCGAAAGCCCTGAACGCCCTAAACCCGAAAGTCAGAATCTGAAACACCAAACCCTAAACCCTAAACCCTAAACCCTAAACCCTAAACCCTAAACCCTAAACCCTAAACCCTAAACCCTAAACCCTAAACCCTAAACCCTAAACCCTAAACCGAAACAAGCACAAGGCCCAGGGCCGCCTATAACCCTAACTCCTCAACCCTCAGCCGCATAAACCATCGTACGTTGGGATGTTCCCCCTTAAACAAAGGGTTTAGGGTTTAGGGTTTAGGGTTTAGGGTTTAGGGTTTAGGGTTTAGGGTTTAGGGTTTAGGGTTTAGGGTTTAGGGTTTAGGGTTTAGGGTTTAGGGTTTAGGGAAACAAACAGTCCTTAATAGGGATTGTAGTACCCCCGCTATTGTAATCCCTATCAAGGACTGTTAGCATAAGGGAGAACATCCCAAATCATAAGGCTTGAACCGTCCCTACGGATTCTAACATCGGCCCCGTGCATGTTCTCGCGCACTAGCGGCATAGAGATTGTGCGGTGGGGCGCCTGACAAAGTTTGGGCAATGCCATGGTCGTGCTGTGAGCAGTGTATGAGAACATTGCGGTGAAGAGAAGAAAATGTGGAGGCATTAAACCCTAAACCCTAAACCTCAAAGCTCTGACGACAATATGCAGTAGTGACCCACCATGTCCGAACCCGGTCGAGTTCACGTGCCTTCATACCACGCCTGCCACACTTGGCCCCGACGCATACAGACGTACATACATGCGCATACATGCATACATGCATACATGCATACATGCAGACATGCATGCATGCATACATCACATACTCTCTCTCTCTCTCTCTCTCTCTCTCTCTGTCTCTCTGTATCTCTGTCTCTTTCTTTCTCTCTCTATGTCTCTCTCTCCCTCTCTTTCTCCCGCTCCCGCTCCCCCCTCCCTGCTCCCTCCCTCCTTGGGGAGCTGGCCGGGTTCGGCGCAGCTCAAACGCCCATCTGGGCGTCCCTGATACTATGCATATTTTGTAAGGCTCTTCGACTGCTCATTTGTATGACTTCGCACACCATTCTACCCTAAACCCTAAACCCCTAAGACTCTAGAAGGGACTGCGGGTTCGGGGCCAGGGGACAAAGCAGTCTTATTAAAACCAGTTGAGTTTCTAGGCTGCTAGACTGTCTCTGGGCTGGCCTCCGGCTTGCTCTCTGCATCCCTAAACGCCCTAAACTTCTACCCCCTGCAAACCCTAACACGGTTGGAGGGCCCTACACTGCCCCTAAAAGCAATAGCCCTAAACCCTAAACCCTAAAACAATAGCCCGGGGGAGCGGGTGAGCAAATTTTTCTCTCATGTCTGACCCCCCACCCCGAAGCGAAGCCGAGCCCCGGAGCCAAGTTGGCACAACCGCGAGCTTTCTGCAATTGCATGGGCCTTCAGGCTCTCATTCCTAGGGTTCCTAACCCTAAACCCTAAACCCTAAACCCTAAACCCTAAACCCTAAACCCCAAAAGCGCTCTAAGATTTTGAAGCTTCAGGTCCGTTGTCATGTCGTGGACATGCGAGGCTCCGAGGGGGGCGGGGGGGGGGGGTTAAAACCCTAAACCCTAAACCCTACACCTTACACCTTTTTATGGTTCCCAGCCTTCCTGTCTCAAAATGCCCCTACAGGAGGAAACAAACCGCCTAAGCCCTCCACAAGCCACTCTCTGAACCCACACCACGGGCCTAGGTTTAGGCTCTCAGGGTTCAGGATTTAGTTTAGGGTTTAGGGTTAGGGTTTAGGGTTTAGGGTTTACGGTTTAGGGTTTAGGGTTTAGGGTTAGGGTTTAGGGTTTAGGGTTTAGGGTTTAGGGTTTAGGGTTTAGGGTTTAGGGTTTAGGGTTTAGGGTTTAGGGTTTAGGGTTTAGGGTTTAGGGTTTAGGGTTTAGGGTTTAGGGTTTAGGGTTTAGGGTTGAAGGTTTCGTGTTTCAGATTCTGACCTTTCGGGTTTAGGGCATTTACCTGAAACCCTAAAACCCTGAACCCTAAACCCTGAACTCCAAACCCTCGGAAAGCAAACTAGGGTTTTGGGATTCCAAGGCTCAAAAGGTGGCAGGGCTAACCCTAACACATGTCTACCCTCAATTAAGGTTTAGGGTTTAGGGTTTAGGGTTTAGGGTTTAGGGTTGAGGGTTTAGGGTTTAGGGTTTAGGATTTAGGGTTAGGGTTTAGGGTTTAGGGTTTAGGGTTTAGGGTTTAGGGTTTAGGGTTTAGGGTTTAGGGTTTAGGGTTTAGGGTTTAGGGTTTAGGGTTTAGGGTTTAGGGTTTAGGGTTTAGGGTTTAGGGTTTAGGGTTTACGGTTTAGGGTTTGGGTTTAGGGTTTAGGCTTTAGGGTTCAGCATCTCAAGTTCGAGCATTTGCTAGGCCACCAGTGTGTCTAGGCAACGGAGAAAAAAAAACACCCGCCCAAAGAATCCCATACCATTAAGAAAATAGAAGGTTCACTATTTTCTCTTCGGATGCACCAATACACAAAACAATCACGCCGTATTACCAAGCACCTAACACAAGCCACGCCAGGCCTTGAGGCCTTGAAACCCTAAACACCAGGCCTTGAGGCCCTGAAACCCTAAACACCAGGCCTTGAGGCCCTGAAACCCTAAACACCCGGCCGTGAGAAATGGGTCAAAACGCCAAATTCGTGCTGAACAATGGGGGGCCAAGGGGTCAGAGGGGCCGAAATGGATCAAAACGCCAAATTCGTGCTGAACAATGGGGGGGCCAAACGGGTCACAGGGGCCGAAATGGGTCAAAACGCCAAGTTCGTGCTGAACAATGGGGGGGGCCAAACGGTCAGACGGGTCAAAACGCCAAATTCGTGCTGAACAATGGGGGTCTAAACGCCAAACTTGTGTTTAACATTTAGGGTTATATGGTAGAGAGGTTTGAGGTTTAGGTGTTTGGGGGGGTTGGGGCTCTCAAGGGCAACTGCGGCCGAGTGAGGCCATACAGCACATGCCAGATTTGCCGCAGCGCTGCGACTTCCTTTATCTGAACTTCTTCGGCGCGCCCGAACATAGCTCTAAACCCTAAACCCTAAACCTAAGCTCTAAACCCTAAACCCTAAACCCTAAACCCTAAACCCCAAACCCCAAAACCCAAACCCCAAGCCCAGCACTACTTTTCAGCGCTGACATCGCCCAGCTTCCACGCCGTCACGGTTCCATCTCCTCTGCCATCTCTTGGGCCACATTGCTGCACTCCTCCAAGATGTTTCCGATCCTAGGCTTTGGGTTTGGGGCTTGGGGTTTAGGGTTTAGGGTTTAGGGTTTAGGGTTTAGGGTTTGGGGTTTGGGGTTTGGGGTTTGGGGTTTAGGGTTTGGGGTTTGGGGTTTGGGGTTTGGGTTGCAGGGTGTGCTGTACTCCTCCAAGACATTCTGGGGTTTGGAGTTTAGGGCTTTAGGGTTTTAGGGTTTGGGGTTTCGGGAGTTTAGGGATAGGGTTGTAGGGTTTAGGGCTTGCTCATTAGGGTCAAGACAAGCCACACACATACAGACGTACATACGTACATACATACATACATACATTCATACATACATACATACATGCATACATGAATACATGCATACATGCATACATGCATACATCCATACAATACAAATATAAATATATGTACACACACATCTCGCCGCACCGCATGCACCTACGTTTCGTTGGTTTGACGATTGCTTGTGAAGCAGCACCTGTGCAAACTCCTAAACCCTAAACAAACACATGTTCTTGACACTAGCAGGAGGCCCCATTTCTTCCTTCAACAAGCACTAAGACAACCTTTTATTCATAAGGAAACACAACCTTTCTTGAAAGCACAAATGCGTTAGCCTCTTCTTCCCTCAATGACAAATATTCGGGCGGAGAAGAACTGAGAATGTGTGTGTGTGTGTGCATATCAGTCTTGATGCTGACGACTATTCGGAGCAAGAAATGAAAAGGCGGACAGCACCAACAAGCCGTCCAGCTTCTGGAAGATTCTGCTTGGGTGTTCTGGGTTTTGGGTTTAGGGTTTAAGGCTTGGGGTTTTGGGTTTAGGGTTCAGGGCTTTGCAGACTTGCACACTGAAACATTGGCACAGTTTGGCACAGTTTGACAGTCCCCACGATGCTGACGCTTCAGCCACAGCGTTTAGCGTCTAGGGTTTAGACCTGCTTTTCATGCTGGGCAGGTTTGTGTGTTATATACATGCATGTACGAAGATGTGTACCGGGACCAAGAGAGCCCTCGAATTGAATTGATGAAATCATTCACAACTCCAATCCAAGTTGGGGCACATGGACTCCTAAACAGTACACACCTCTCAACCCGAAACCCAAAACCCCAAGCCCCAACCCGAAGTACCCCCCCCCCCCCGTCGTCACTAAACCCTAAACCCTAAACCCTAAACCCTCAACCCTAAATCCTAAACCCTAAACCCTAAACCCTAAACCCTAAACCCTAAACCCTACACCCTAAACCCTCCTCTTGAGGGGGGTTTACTTCGTCCCCAAGGATCTGGTGGCCCACCAGGGCATTCGCGTCGTACTCGAGCGCTTGCGCCACAATCTCGGCGCCTCTCGGGATACTCTCCAGAGGTCCGCAGAACCTGGAGGAGAAGGGTGTGGAGGAGGGGAAGGTTGCCCCTGAACCCTAAACCCTAAACCCTAAACCCTAAACGCTAAACCCGAAACCCAGCCTATAAATTGAGCTTGTTTTTTACATCGTACGTGCCTTCATCATGCATCCTTGTCAAGTTATTAGAGCAGACAATATTCAATTTACTTAAACTTAATTTTGCTCACAAAACCCAATTTATTTAAACCACGACATGATTCAAAATGCTCAATTTACTTAAACCTCTTACTTGCCAGAGCCATAAACATGCAAGCTCCAGAAATCCTGGTTGCGCCCTAAGGTTTAAGGTTTGGGGTTTAGGGTTTCGGGTTAGGGTTTGGGGTTAAGGTTACAGGGTTTTAGGGTTAGACCATAGGGTTTCGGGTTTAGGGTTAGACCATAGGGTTTCGGGTTTCGGGGTTAGGGTTTGAGGGGCTTAAGGGTATGAAATACCCTTGAGCCTCCTCTTGCCTTTCTTTGCAAGGGCATCTCGGATAGGAAAGGAGGTTTAAGAAAACTGAGTATGTGAGCCCTTGGACCTCCTCTTGCTTTATTTTTGCAAGGATATCTCGGATAATTTATCTATCTGATCAAATATAATTCGAATTCTGCCAGATAAATACCTTCGAATGATCTTTTTTCAAAGATTTCTTCTGGGTCATTTGATGAAGCTCATGATCATTCATCTTCTATCGAATGGAATGAAAAATTAATTTCGTTTGGATTCTCTTTTTTGATATTACTTCCATTCCATAAATCAATCTTTTTTTTTGTGCCCCCCACAGCACCCCCGTAGCACCCCCCACATCGCACCCACACGGCAACCCTACAGCACCCCAACAGCACCCCCACAGCACCCCCACAGCACGCCCACAGCACCCCCCACAGCACCTCCCACAGCACCCCCACGCAACACCCCCACACAGCACCCGCACACAGCACCCCCACAGAACACCCCCACACAGCACCCCCAAACAGCACCCCCACACAACATTAGTGCAATCCTATCCAAAATCAATTCAATATAAAAGAAAAGTCACGATACATTCATTTCGGCCTAGAAGCCACTCCTCGATGCATGTTTGCATAAGGGGGGTTAAGGGTGCTCCAGAACCACAAACCAGTAGACGAGTACAACCTAGACAATTACAACCAACCGCCTATAACACAAACATCAGTACCCCTAACCTTCCTTGGGGGGAAGAAACACTTAGGCTCCCTCCCCCGTTTGAAAAATTAGAAGCTTGCTCTCACGGCTCTCACGCCTTGGTTAAATTCTCTTCACTTCGAAATTCAGAGCACTAGGCAGAAATCACATTGCGTCAACACCACAACAGAACATGAAACAAAAAGAACTGAAGCCTCAGTTGAGGAAATCGGGCGAGTCGCGAGAAAACCTCTCTCTCTCTCTCTCTCTCTTTCTTTCTCTGCCGAGGATGGGACGCCGACGGGGGCGTCGGATTCGTGAACCTGCGCCACGTGTGTGTTTCTTTGTCTTTCTCTCTAACTCTCTCTCTCTCTCTTTTTCTATGTCTCTTTCCCTTTTTTCTTCTCTCTCTCTCTCTCTCTCTCTCTCTCTCTCTCTCTCTCTCTCTTCTTGTTCTCTCTCCCAGCGATGTGAAGGCGACTCTTGTCTTGCACGTTGGGCATCGGACTGCTTGGTCCATGGGCACTGCCAACCCCCACGGGTCATCGAGGTTCCAAGCGCTGCCAGCCACTGGCTTCAACTTGCTTATGTAGGGTTGTAGGGTCTTAAGCCCTGAATATTCAGAAAGAATACCTCACACCCTAGCCCTAAACCCTAAACCCTGAGCCCTACACCCTAAACCCGGGTTTAGGGCTTGTTCGTTTTGAATGACTTCTAGGAATCGCAAAGGGCGCTCGAATTACATGTGCCTGGAGGTGTCTAGGAAGACGAAGGTCCTAAACCCTAAACCCTAAACCCTTTTTGTGTGTAACCTAAAAAGCTTTCTGTCTTCAACCAAGAAGACTTTTAGCCTCTCACCCTCAACACATGCCCTAAAACCCCAAGCCCTAAACCTAAACCCCAAACCCTATGTGAGAAGCTGGTAGCCCTTAAGGCCAGCGCGTCGCATTGGTAGGGGCAGCCTGATGAGTGGCTGTACTCGCCAGTGCGGGTGGGTATACAATACATTGACCAGGTATAAGGTCAAACACAGGTTATGAGCGCCCAAGTATCTGGCTGCTGCGCAAAACACCGCTTGGTAGTGGGCTTGGTGGTTGTGGCCTAAAGCTGTGGGGGGTTACTTCATGTCGGCTGCTGAGAGTCTGGCGGGCACAGCGGGTGGCTTTGCCAGGGCGGTCGGGGTCATGGGTGGCATCACAGCATGGCATTGCCAATGGTTGGGGGCAATGAGCGCCTAATGGAGAGGCCAGGTGGCGCAAACCTACCAGCCATTGCTGGTGGTTGCTGGGCCTGGGGGAGTTACAGCAGGGAGCACTCCTTCGCATAAGCTGTGGAGCGGGGGGAGTGTGAGAAGCTGGTAGCCCTTAAGGCCAGCGCGTCGCATTGGTAGGGCCAGCCTGATGAGTGGCTGTACTCGCCAGTGCGGGTGGGTATACAATACATTGACCAGGTATAAGGTCAAACACACCCTAAACCCCAAACCCCAAACCCTAAACCCTAAGCCCGAAACCCCCTAGGTACACTCCGGAAACGGATCCCAGGAACGCATAGGCAATGCGCAGCAACCATACAGCCACCAGCTCCTTGGGCGCCGGAGGCTCTTCCGCTGCAAGTGCCAGGGCCACCTCTACAGCCTTCTCCATCTGTTCCTGGGCTTGAGGTTTGTAGGGTTTAGGGCTTCTAGGGTTTTTGTAGGGTTTTTGGTAGGGTTTTTGTAGGGTTTTTGTAGGGTTTTTGTAGGGTTTGTAGGATTTGTAGGGTTTGCAGGGTTTGTAGGGTTTGTAAGGTTTGTTGTAGAGTTTGTAGGGTTTGCAGGGTTTGCAGGGTTTGTAGGGTTTGTAGGGTTTGTAGGGTTTGTAGGGTTTGTAGGGTTTGTAGGGTTTGTAGGGTTTGTAGGGTTTGTCCCGGCATATGCGGTGGGGCTTTCTGAGGGCTTGTAGGGTTTCTAGGGCTTGTAGGGTTGGTAGGGTTTGTGGGTTATAGGGTTTGTCGGGTTTGTAGGATTTCCAGGGTTATAGGGTTTGTCTCCATCCGTTCCTGAAAGTTGGGTGGGGAATTTAGATTGAGTTCGGGGCTTTATTGGGTTTGGGGGGGGGGGCTTTGGCAACCGAAACCCCAAACCCCTAAACCCCTAAACCCTAAACCCTAAACCCCAAACGCCTAAACCCCAAACGCCTAAACCCCAAACCCCTAAACCCCAAACCCTAAACCCCAAACCCTAAACCCCAAACCCTAAACCCCAAACCCCTAAACCCCAAACCCTAAACCCCAAACCCTAAACCCCAAACCCTAAACCCCAACCCCCAAACCCTAAACCCTAAACCCCAAACCCGAAACCCGAAACCCTAAACCCTAAACCCTAAACCCTAAACCCCCCAACTCCTGGCCCAGCTGCCACTGCCTCGGCGCCAGCTCCCGAGATTCCGAGGATCTCGGCCACGTAGAAGTGCGGGCGAAGGTCCCTGGGCGCCACTTCGATCATCCTCCTTCGGGGGTTTCGGGGGTGTAGGGTTGAGGGTTCGAGTTTAGGGTGGGGTTGGGGGGTTTGGGGGTTTTCGGGTTTGGGGTTTAGGGTTTGGGGCTTAGGGTTTAGGGCTTAGGGTTTAGGGTTTAGGGTTTAGGGTTCAGGGGTTCGGCAGCCTCGCCAGCGTGAGGGCCTCGTCCATGCGGTTTTCGTTGAGGCAGAAGATCCTTGAGGGCCAACAAGGAGGGTTTAGGGTTTAGGGTTTAGGGTTTAGGGTTTAGGGTTTAGGGTTCAGGGTTTAGGGTTTTGGGTTTAGGGTTTAGGGTTGAGGGTTTAGGGTTTAGGGTTGAGGGTTCAGGGTTTAGGGTTTAGGGATTTAAGCATGGGATCATGGACCCTTGATTGGAAGCCCATGAGGAGGTAGTGAGTCGCCAGTGCACTCTAGTACTATGCTGAGTCCAAACCATATTGTTTTGCAGGTTCTTGTTGACAGATCACCGACAAACATATGGCTTTGGGTTCTTTCGGTATTATGAACCCCTGCTAGGGGAATTACCTGGACCCCTTCCACCTTCTTCGGGCTGAGGTTAATACTATACTAGAGCAATAAATGGCCCTTTCTAATCGTAGAAAAATTAGGTAAGACTATTCTAGAATCTAGGGGCTCTGCATGATAATAACAAAAAGAAACAACAATAATCAGGAGCCTTCAATAATAATAACAACAATCTCCCCAAGGATCAGGTTGTAAGACAGACTTTCAGCAGATCCGCGCGCCAGCTGCTCCGGCATGTCGACCTCGTGCGCGCCAGCGAACATGTTGCCTTGCAGAGCGAAGGCCACCGCATCGCCCACGTTCAACCTGGGATGGCCCCCATAAAACCCAGGGTTTGGGGTTTAGGGTTTGGGGTTTAGGGTTTAGGGTTTAGGGTTTAGGGTTTAGGGTTTAGGGTCTAGGGTCTAGGGTCTAGGGTTTAGGATACTCCTGGAGTAGAACCCTCCTGAATCCAATACAAGGGCAGATACGAAAAAATGCCCCAAAACCCCCGGGCAACGTTGCATGCAGCCACATTGTTGGGAGATACAGCGCCGTACCCGGCTCCTGGAGACATTGCACCAAGCCCCTCAGCCCGGAAGACCGTTCAGCTGTGCTCGCGCAGGCCCGCGCATCTTCTGACGTCGAGGCCGGATTGCAACTCCTGGCTCCGAGGCTGTCAACGATTCGCTTCAGCTGAAGGCCGTGCGCGTGAACCGGATCCAGCAAAGCCTCAGGGGCTGAATACCGTAGGCCAAACAAGGCTAACCTTTGTTTGAAAATAGGATGATATAATAGCCGGAAAAGGCTGTGAAGGTTTAAATACAAGGTTAACCTTTTGTAGTTTTTGGGATTATCGAATAGCCAACAGAGCTTAAAGGCTAAAATGCCCCATACCCCATAAGAAGCAGGATCAAGGTCACAGTCTTTGCTGTTCCTTCGGAATTGCAGTGCCCAAAAAATGAAAATAAAAAACAAAAAAATAACTATTCCCAAGTCTCTCTAAGAGGCCTTGGTAGCCCAGTAAACCATGCTACAATGAGGGCACCCGTTTTGGGGTTGGTTACTTTGCAAGGGAACCTTGAACCAAAAGAAGGGAAAAGGGCACGACTGGGCTACCCTAAACCCTAAACCCTAAAACCGTAACACCCTAAACCCAGGGAAAAGGGCACGACTGGGCTACCCAGAAGCAGGATCCAGTTCTGCGTCGGGAGGGGCGATGAACCACAGCTTTTGCCCAT